ATAATGTATTTAACCTATGTTACAATAAATCTTTCTGCCAAAAGCCACCAGAACCCTATGGTCACGTGGGCACTTTCTGCCAGCTGCCTGAGTTCTGCCGCCGAGTTAGGGCCCCAATTGATACAGAGAGACTTATATTAGGTACAAATGCTGCTTGGCCAACGACTAGGATTCTCATCTGTTAGCTCAGTCTTAATTATCATAAATCTATATATTTTATAAGACTTATCTTATTGGACGCCTTCCATTGGTGTCCTCATCCCGGGATCATGTGGTGACTCTGGAGGAAGAGAGAAGGGGCCCACTTCCTTCTTCCTTGTTTATGTTTGAGTCTCTCAGGATCATCCTTCCTGGATCATCACTTTTTACTACATTTCCCAGAATCCTCCTTGACTCCTAGTCCTGCCTAACTTGCTGCCTTATTGGCCAAACAGTACCTGTACCTAATGTAAGTCTCTGTGTATTAATTGGGGCCCTAACTCGGCAGCAGAACTCAGGCAGCTGGCGGTAGGGCTCTGGTGGCTTTTGACAGAAAGATTTATCATAACAGAATGGTGTTTATGAGTGTCAATTTTGGATACTTTACACTATTAAGTTTTAATCCTCTTTTAGACTAAAAGGGGAATTGTAGTGAGACACCGTAACCACTCCTCCTACGGGCTGGCTACAGGTGTGCATGACAGGTGAGGTCAGGACGATGCGTGATGGGTTTTTAAGGGGTTGCAAGTCACACGGGGCCCCTTCTCTCTGACCTGGCTGCCTTGCTGCCCCAGCACGCTCTGGCTTGTGTTTGGCTGGTGTTTATCTGAATAAAGATATCTTAATCTTACAGACTACGGGTCGACTTGCTATAAACCTAATTATGACACAAAAGAGAAAAAACCAGACCAAGGTGGCTACTATACTGTAATACTTTCTTCTTGCAGTGAACTGACTTCATAAAATACATTGTTAGACACTAATAGCAGAGCATTTTAGACAGACAACATACTACTTATATGCAAGCACTTCAAAACATTTTTAGGGATCAGAGAGCTAGCTCAGTCATTAAGAATACTGGCTGCTCTTTTAGAGGACCCAGATTTGATTCCTAGTCCCCTCATAGTGACTCATAACCATCTGTAACTACATCAGAGCACCCATCACATTCTTCGTCCTCCACAGGCACCAGACATTCAAGTGATTCCAGGCAAAACACCCATACACATGACATATTCTTTTTAATTTGACATACTAACTTTTTTTTCTTTTTTGTGGTTTTTCGAGACAGGGTTTCTCTGTATAGCTTTGGAGCCTATCCTGGCACTCGCGCTGGAGACCAGGCTGGCCTCAAACCCAAAGAGACCCGCCTGCCTCTGCCTCTGCCTCTTGAGTGCTGGGATTAAAGGCGTGCGCCACCAACGCCCAGTGACATACTAACTTTTTAATAATATTTGTCATATGAATTATCATGGAATCGAATTGTGATTAAAGGAAGATCTGAAGCCAGTTTCTAGGTTTGGCAAGTTTTACCCCTAAGCAGCTTAGGTCAAAGAGGAAGGGTTAAACATCTCTAACTAAGCCTAATCAAGTTTAGTCAATTTAATTATACAATTGATATAACTTGCCAAGTAAAATTAAATTACAACAAACAATTTTTTTGCCCATTACATTAGCAAAGGAATCAGAACAGAAGACCTCACAGCTGGTGCTAAAGATGTAGAGAGGAAATGAGCTTCAATGTGCAATTGGCAATCTTTTAAAAAGTTATTGGATCGATGTGCATCCAGTGTCATCACCCTAAACACAGTAATTTCTCTGGAAATTTAGCCTAAAGAAACAGTATGTTTTATTTACTGCTATAAGTAACCTAGTACATAGCTAAGTTAGACTTTAAAAATATTACTTAGGAAATAGGGAAATGCAAAAAAAAATTGGGAAATACATATAGTAAATAAAACATTTGAGAAAAAATTTACACATAAAATTCCAAATAGCGCTGGGCGTTGGTGGCACACACCTTTAATCCCAGCACTGGGGAGGCAGAGGCAGGCGGATCTCTGTGAGTTCAAGGCCAGCCTGGTCTCCAGAGCGAGTGCCAGGATAGGCTCCAAAGCTACAAAGAGAAAACATATCTCGAAAAAACAACAAAAAAAATCCAAATAGTTTAAGATAAATGTCACGAAGTTAACATCTATATTACTGATGTGACTGTATGCCATGTCCTTCCATTTAATCCAGTATTTTATGAATATCCATTATGACTTATAAATTTCAAGTGTAAGAGAGGAGAGTGGATTAGAAGCACTCTAGAGCAAGGCAGTCTGTGCTATGTCTTCTTTGGCTTTCTGAAAGATGCTCCTTAAAAAAATCGAGGATCCCTGTTAAGAGAACAGTACACTGCAAAGGAACCAGACTGGGCTCAAACAGGGAGAAAACCTAAGTGAGTGGATAGAGTGAAGCCAGTAGCATCTCTTTATTCCCTTAGCCAGTTAACTGTGATGTTATTAGTAGACATATGGAAACCTCAAGAAAAACAGACAGAAAAAGACAAAACACAGGGAACAGATGACACCACCAAGGCTGATGGTCAAAACATTGAATGGCTTTGATAGAATTGCCAAGATCTTCAGATGTTTAAAAGGGCAAACTATAAAATGTGTCTTATTTACAGAGAACACTTGGGATATCAGTCTTGAAGTAAGACAGCCCATTATAAAAGGAGACTCATCCATCGTCTGGATCATTTTGTTGAAGGGCTGGAAGGACATCTGATTTGATCTCAGATACACATGGTATGCTGGACAGACCAGGGTCAAACTGGCTAACAGAGACACAGTACACTCAGCTGTATTGATAAGCCTCCAAGCGGAACCACTCTTCCCTGCGGTGGGCTGGTACTGGGTGGTCTCTCATGATTCTCCCTGTCATACTTCATTATACAAGACTAGCAATTTTAGAGTTAATGATTCTAACAACCATTTCCCAAGTTTACAGCATAAAGTAGGGAAATTTAAGATCCTGTGCATCTCTCAGAGCAGTGGAACTACAGTTTGCAGCCCCCCTCTAACAGTTCAGGAAACTAATACCCGCTTTCCAAGATGCAACTGACAAAAACAAGGCCAACCTGAACAGTGCATCATCAAGAGATCCTACCTTTTTGGAATCTCACACAGCTGATTCTTACTGAAGTTGACAGAAATGATGGTATTGCTTTTTGCGGCATCAAATACGTCATCAGGAATCAAGGTTGCTTGTTTATCACTAAGTAAAAAGCAGTTCAAAAAAATAAAACATTCTCAACAGTCCAAAAAATATGTAATCACTATTTCCTATTTCTAAAGTCCTTTATAGATTTTACCAAAATGTTTACGGTTGCTGATGAGTTCTGTGAGGTCAGTATGCTCTGCTCATGCTCAGTCACACGAACAAAAACAGATACACACTGAAAATCCAGAAAACTTAAGAGAATACATGGCCCACTGCTGGGCCTATAATTGGAACTAAATCCGATTTTAAAACCAAGATTTCCTTAAAGCCTTGTAAGATTTGTCAGCTTTGATGACTGGAGAATAACAAGTGCAACACTGTACTAAGTTAGTTTCATGTAATCACCTACATGCCTTCTTGTTCCGCTAGTGTGTGGCAGGAGACAGGCTGACGCTAACTATTCGTGCTGCCACACTGTTGAGCTTTGCAGCTTGCCCCTGCTGTGGGATTAGAATCTGAAGAACAAGAATAGCCTTTGATATTTATGTCATGGCTTATGATATATACATACATACATACATACATACATATGCGCGTGTGTGTGTGTGTGTGTGTGTGTGTGTGTGTGTGTGTGTGTGTGTGTGTGTGTGTGATATGATTAAAGGGATACAGAATAGGTACAGGGGTATCTAACCTCGGTGGGGTGGCTTAGTAGTTACCCCGCACATTAAAGGGTGGAGTAAGAAAAACGTGAATGGAGGTCTTCACTGTTGAGAGGGTTCCTACCAACACATTATGATTGAGGAGCCACATGACAGCTTATAGACTCTTTAAAGAATAGTTATCAGTCTGGAATCTGTACCCTTCATCTCTCTGCTATAACAGCACACAAGAAAGAGTATGAGCAAAGGGTTGACAGCATTGCTCACCCTCAGATGTCACAACAGAAGTACCTGACCAATAGGGTTATTCAGCTCCTTTCCCTAATCTGACCATTTCCACAGTGCACTCAGGAACTTAGTGCTTTCCCTTACTCTGTACATAAACATGGTCAGTGCTTCAGTGTTACTGTATTCCCAGAATGCAGTGCAACTATGAGACATCACCTCAGTTCCATTCACAAACATGAGGTAATCACTTCTCAAAACTACTTGTTAGTCAAGCTTTCATCAACTAAATGATAGTTTCTTATTGAACAGATTCACCCCCAAACATAAAATTTTCTTTAAATCTAGTTAGTGAATTTGAGAACTTAAATACCAAACTGTCACTCATATTCTTGTAATAAAATGTTAACATTAATCTACCTGTCTTTCTCTTATTTTTTTGCAACTGATATTGTTTTGAGTCAAAGAGAATGAAAGGACCTCAGCAGCCACCTGTCTCCCAGACACTACCCAGAAAGATAGAATGCTGCTTTTTACACTAAGTCCACCTCATTCCCAACAAGGGCAGCTCTGCATCCTCTAATGAAAACCTCACAAAACAGAGAGCTGAAGAGACGGCTCAGTGGTTAAGGGCGCTGGTTGCTGTTCCAGCGCATCCAGGTTTGATTTCCAGCACCCACATGGTAGCTCACAACCTTCTATACCTCCAGTTCTGGGAGATCTGACACCTCTTTTGGCCTCCTCAAGCACCAGGCATTATGTCATGCACAGACATACATGAAGGTAAAACATCCATGCACACAAAATAAAATATTCTTGCTGTGGAACAATCTTTTTACATTGTAAATATGTACTAGTCTCACTGGCTAATAAAGAGCTGACTGGCCTACAGCTGAGCAGGACAGCCAGACTAGAAGAATTCTGGGAGGAAGAAGGGCAGAGTCAGAAGAGTCACAAGAGACGAAGAAGGAGCAAGGCATGCCGCAGGTTAGGTAAAGCCACAAGCCACATGGCAACACATAGATGCACAGACATGGGTTCATTTAAGTTGAAAGAGCTGGCTGGAGACAAGCCTAAGTCATTGGCTGAGCATTTATAATTAATATGAAGTCTGCATGGTTACTTGGGAACTGGCAGCCAGGACAAAAACATCTGCCTACATGTGGCGCCTAAACATCGGACACCTATATCCACATAAGAACTGAGAAAGCTTTAAAAAGGTTCTAAATACACAAAAATGGAGCCAACTGCAGCTTCCTAGTCTTATGTCACTCATGCCTGCCAACACAATGACATGTCTCTCAGCCACTACCTGTGGGCTTGAGATGCTGGCGCAAGTACCTCCAGAGTGATCCCTGCCAGCATGCCATTGACTAAGCAACATAGTGGGTTTAAGTTTTGCTCATGAAAACAGAAAAGATTATAGAAATGTAGTAAAGACAGACCCAGATCAGAAAAAAGCCTCTGAACAGGTTTAGTGTGTTTAAAAATATACATTGGCTTGGGGAGAGAGAAGATGGAGAGTATATACAGACATAGATTAAAAACTAACTTTAAAATGATAAAAGCCCTCAAAAAGGGAATAAAGTAGTATATAAAAAAGCCACATAAATTTGGAAAATACACAGAGAGTATGGATAATGTATGTTATTGTGTAGTCTTTGAATTGTGTGATTGCTGACAGAGGAGTGATCACCGCTAAAAGACACTGGATTATAAAAGCTGCTGGTTTAAACCAACGTATATATTTTTAAAATGTCTTGACTTCAAAATGGAAGTCAAAAGATATGTTACTTTAGGGAAGAGGTTATGATTTTATTTCCACAGGAATTGAAAGGTTGTGTATTCATTCAAAGTTAGAGATGATCAGGTCTGATCAAGGAAGATCCCCTGAAAATCATGGTTACAAACATAAAGACATAAACCCAGAAAAACACAAGACACGTGGCATATATTTTATCTGCTCAAACATAAAACAAAAAATCATCTTTGGTTGACTTGTGTATATATAATGCAGTCTATACTTGTATTAATAGAGATATGGATGTTACCTTTAAAAGTTTGTGTATTTTCAGAGCAAGGGGACCAGACACCAATAAAAACAAATGGCCCAGATGATCCAGCATCCAGAGCAGCTTCAAGGCTGCTGGCAGAGATGACCCAGACTCACACAACACTCCAGACATGACTTAACAAGTTACCCCAATTTTCTCAAGGTCCCCCAAAGATGCCAGTGCCCCCAGACAACAGGAAGCAGTCTAGAAAAAAACAACTCCCATATTCCTAAAAGATGGGTTATGGATGTTTGCTATCATTTAAAGGGGGTTGGTTACAAGTTGTTATTGGTCATATTAAAAAAAAAAGCTAAGCAAAAGAGTTAAATTAAAAAATCTCTTTCTAAAGGAAAAAAAAGTGGATGTGATATAGAAATGATGAGATAAAAGGATAAATTATTGCATCTATTTTAATCCAAAAAAACAACCATTAATCTCAAAATACTTTACAATGGTATAGATTTTGGTTTATTAATACAAATTTAAGGTTAATTTCATAATGCTGCATGTATGTTTCAACTTTTGTTTAGGGTATTGTGATTATGTAGCTCATATAAAAATGTAATGTATAATTAAGAAATACAGATTAGCTGGGCAGTGGCGGTGCACGCCTTTAATCCCAGAATTCAGGAGGCAGAGGCGAGCAGACCTCTATGAGTTCAAAGCCAGCCTGGTCTACAAAGCAAGTTCCAGGACAGGCTCTAAAGCTACACAGAGAAACCCTGTCTCAAAAAAAAAAAAAAAAAAAGAAATACAGATTAATAGTCGTCTATAATAGTCAAAACATGTCATATTAGGCATGTTTTCAAGGTCATACACAGATATATTTAGACAAATATATACACTCCAAAAACCTACAGAATATGGCATTTAATATGTTTAATAACCTAAGACTTTTCATGTCAATGAGACACATCTGCTCCTGGCAGCACCAAACTATTTCAGAGAAGATGATGGGCATCAAAGCAACTCCATATGGAGCTTGTTTTCTTTATGGCAAAAGCTAGCCATTTTGACAAAGAAACTGCCTTTGCCTCAATTGCTGATAGTATACTGTCCAAACTGGACCAGCAGGACGCAAAAGAAAGCAACTGCCAAACTTTGCCAGGTAGGACAGTCCTCCAAAATTCCCTGCTTCTCAGAAATGTCTGTCAGATATACTAGGCCTGTAGGCCAGAGTGGGATGCCCCAACATTAGAAAGGAACTCTGGGTGACTGTCCATGCAGCCAGATGTCCCTGTTGTTAGGTAACATTTCACCCTTTTGGGGTCTCTGACAGTTGAAGACTAGATAGTCATAGTTAAAGTTTTCCTTCCTTATAATAAAAGGTAAATTAGATAAAACACTTAAGGCTCACAAAACTTAGATAACAAAATATTTTCTCTAAATTTGCCAAATACAAATGGACTGGATATGGTAACTATAATTCTTACTTAGAAACTGTTTTTGTTGTATATAATTTTACTATGTTAAAATTAAAATCTTCCTTTTTAATTACATAAAAAGGAGGAAACGCTGTGAATAACCCTCCTGTACACTGTAAAGATTTGTCACTCGAATTGTTCTAATAAAAAGTGGACCGGCAGTAGAAAGGCAGCAAGTATAGGCAGGACAACCAAACTAAGGATGATGGGAAAGAGAAGGGTGGAGCCGGAGGAGATGCTGGCCAGACAACAGGAAGCAGGGCACTTAGAAAATGAGGTGGCTAGCCATAAGCCAAGTGGCAGAAGGCAGACTAGAAATATGGGCTAACTGAAGTGTGAGAGTCAGCTAGTAACCAGCCTGAGCTAATTGAAATGTAAGAGTCAGCTAGTAACCAGCCTGAGCTAATTGAAATGTGAGAGTCAGCTAGTAACCAGCCTGAGCTAATTGAAATGTAAGAGTCAGCTAGTAACCAGCCTGAGCTACCAGCCAAGCATTTATAGTTAAGGCTTCATGTTGGTTATTCGGTCACTGATGGGTGGGTAAGAAAAATCCCCCAATACATTCTAAAATAACATTCTAACAAGGCCCAGGGAACAAGTTCTTTCTCCTCGTGTGCCCTCCTTTAATTTCCTTGTACTAGTGTAACTTCCTCCTTCCCACAACACCTTTTCTACATTCTCAGGCACTCTACCCCTCTGACTCACGATCCCTTTGAGTCCACTTTCAAATTCTTCTGAGGAACCTGCAAATGGGAATCTGACCCATGATGAACTACCTTCTCACTAACTGTACTTTCTCTAAAGGACTGTCTTTCAAAAGCTTCCTATGGGCCTTGCAATGCTGTGCAGATGGACAATGTATCTGTACTTGGTAGCTTTAGTGTGACCACAGCAGGGACACTGCATACATCTTCAATGTTATGCACATGGACTGTGTGATGGTTTGAATGAGACTACATAGAGTCATGTATTTGAATGCTTGGTCCATAGCTGGTGGAACTGTTTGGGAAGGATTAGGAGTTATGAACTTATTGGAAAAGGTGTATCACTAGTGTGTGTGTGTGTGTGTGTGTGTGTGTGTGTGTGTGTGTGTGTGTTCTGAAGTTTCAAAAGCCCACACCATTCCAGTTAGCCAGTTAGCACTCTCTCTCTCTGCTTCATGTTGCTCTAGCACTATGCCTGCCTGCTTGCTGCCATGCTACCTACCATGATGGTTGTAGACTCTAACTCTCTGCAACCATGAGCATAACTGTGAACCCCACATTAAATGCTGTTTTATAAGGAGCCTTGGTCATGGTGTTTTGTCATAGCAGTAGAACAGTAACTAAGGCAGACTGCATACCTGTAGTCTAGCAGCTTTAGAGTGACTATAGCATGGATGTTGACTCTGGATTCACTTGGTAGCGTCATGGCAGTCTCAGGAACAGAATCATTTTGACTGGTCCCATCATCTGGAAAAGAATAGTTATATAAAGTGAATATTACTGTTACAAAGCTACCTTTAAATTGTTAACAACATGTAAGAAAAGTGTCCATGATTTCTAGATAGTTTTGATAATATGGTACCCAGTCATATATTTTATTCCCAGTAACTCAGACCTTATTTAAGAACATATTAACAGTAAATAAAGTTCTGCAGTGTGGTTTCTGCAGGTGATATGGGTGATATGCCCACCCATATCACCTAAAATCATCCCACTCCAGGGAAAGTTAGCTATTTCTTTAGAAAGAATATTCATAAAACAACTACACCATCTAACAAGAAATCCTTTCTCTTCAGCAAAATATGGCCCAGTGGAAAGGCCCTGCCAACATCAAAAAACACTGTTTCCCTCAAATGTCCACCAAATATTGTACCTATCTTTCCATCTTTTCTTTTAGGATACAATAAAGCTAATTATTTCCAACCATTTAAGATCTGGCAATTTGTACAATGTAAACTTTTGGATATTATACAATTAGGATGCTTTATAGGCAAGCACCAAGATGTTTTCCTGCTATGTGCATATACTCACACAGTCAACTACCTTACCAAGCAGAAACAACAGCCATCCTACAGAAAAAGCAATAAGAGGCACAGCAGTGGCAGCAACACAGAAGCCTACACATGGGAAGACATGGTTTTGTTGGTGCTGGAAAGGTGGCTCAGTGGTTAAGAAATGGTTTCCTCAAGACTCAGAAACCCAGAAATAACAAATTGAGAGGATGGGATGTCTCCAAGTTCACTCCTATGTGGAAAAGGGAGAAGAAAGCAAAGCAGAGGGTTGTGGGGGTCAGGGCTGCAAACCCAGAGCTTCCCAGAGCCCCAGGCCATACTCAGCTACAGGAAGAACTGAAGGCCTAAATATGCAAGGAGACCCCATTTCAATTAAAAAAACAAAAAACAGCTAAACCAGGTGGTGAAGATGTTTAACCTCCCCAGAGTTGGAGGCAGGTGCTTTCCTGCCAAAGTCAGCTTGAGTTACATAGTAAGAACACATCAACAACATAAAACACACATAACAACCCAAAGAATTAGCAGTGTCATTGACTTTGTGTCAGCCCAGAGTCATCCTAGGAAAATACCTGAGAAATATGCTAGAAAAGCAAGTGCATTTCTCTTGCATTAGGTATATCAATTACTCATTATCCAAGAATTAAAATGTATATATGTATGTACATTACTGCAAATCAACAGTATCTACTTTGAGAAAATGGTTAAACAATTATGCCCCATGCAAACACAACATACTTTACTCATGAAAATAGAACAAATGATAGCATCAACAGAAATAAAAGAATTATGAATTAAATGCTTTGTTATTTAAAACTTCTCTAGCAGTTTGGTCATATTCCTTTATATAATTTTAAATTCTTTAATTTTAATTTTTAATGTGTATTTTGCCTGCATACAATACTGTCAGAGTCCAAAAGAGGGCGCCAGATCCCCAGGGAGCAGAATTACAGCTGTGAGCCACCATGTGATTGCCTGAAATGGAACCCTGATCCTCTGGAAAAGCTGCCAGTGCTCTTAACCACTGAGCAATCTTTCCAGTCCCTGCTCATACTATTGTAAAAAATATGTAATATATTGCCAAAATTTCATAAGAAAAGGCATAGTATGAAATCATTAAGAAAAAAAAACCTTACAGAATGTGAAAAATATATTCAATTTTACTATGTATCTTTACATTTTGTTTTAAACCCTGTGCAGGAAAAAGAGAGAAAAAAAAAACTTTAAAATTTTCAAATTGAAAAGACCCACTAAATGAAAACAATTAATAAAATTTCACAATAGAAGAAACAAAGAACTAAGTTTCCAGGGAGATAAAGTTGTTAAAAGTGCTAATGGCGCTCTTTTGGGTCTTGGCTCCAAGATTAACAAAAAAAAAAAGAAAGAAAAAAAGAAAAAAAGAAACAATTTGTCATGTCAAAAAGGGCTGTGGCCTTCTTTACTTTGGGAGAGTCAGAGGGAGGGGATGCAGTCTGAGTGGATTTCAGTCTGGTTAAAAAAAAATAAAATAAAAAGGCTGCAGCCATGTACAGACAATTCGATGCACAAACTGTGCCTGGTGCATGCCTGAGGACAAGACTTAAAAAGTTAGTCATTCACAGCAAGGGGTGGTGGTGCTCACCTTTAATGCCAGCAATCAGGAGGCAGAGCCAGGTGGATGTGAGTGTCAGGCTGGTCTACAGACTGGGTATCTGGACAGCCAAAGATACACAGAGAAACCCTGTCCCAAAAACAAACAAACAATGTTGAGGCTGATGCTGTCAGGGACATATCTGAAGGAAGTGTCTTTTAACACTTAGGCACTTCCCAAACTCTTATGTCAAGCTGCATGGCTGCATGAGCTATGCCATTCATAGCAAGGCAGTCAGGAATTATCTCATGAAGCCCGGAAAGACCAAACACCCTGCCAGGATTTAGGCCTGCTGGTGCTGCACCACAACCTCCAAAAAGCCATGTAAACAAGGCAGCTTTATAAAGACATTAGGAAAAAAAAACTTGAAAAAAATAAAATGGGACTTATACTTTATGTAAAAAAAAAAAACAAAAAAGTGCAAGTGGTGAGAGGAACACGGTCGAAAAGAGGAGTCCTGTAAATCTAGAGGGAAAAACATCCGAAGTTATTTCCAGTCATTCATTTGGTGAGACAGAAGGGCAAAGGAAGATGAACTCAAAGAACAGACCAAAAGAGCATGCTGGCTGCAGGGCACACAGTGTCAGACACAGGCAGAAAGCATATTTTCATGGGAGGAGTGGAAACCCATGCAATCTAGACAGGCCAACAATGCTGTGAGGGAGCTGGGAAGGAAGTCAGAAACTGCAGGTTCTTATCAGAAAGAACTGAAGAAAATTTGCCAGCTTTGCAAACCTATTTCACTTTGAAGACAGTGTCAGTGTTTGATTTATTATCTATCCTCTGCTGAAAGAAAATGGATAGTTGTTTTTCTGAGAAGTCTAAGAAGGAGGGATTTTTTTTTCAATCACCAAAAAGAAAAACTAAATAAAGTCAGTAATGCAAAGGTAGTATTAATCCCATGTCTAGACCTCACTATGACAGATTTACTCATTTACCCCATAAACTATTTAGCTGTTGTTTTTATTGTTGTTATTCCGACACAGGGACTCACTATATAGCTCTGGCTGACCTGGAACTCAATCTATAGATCAGGCTAGCCTTGAACTCACAGAGATCCAACTGCCTCTGCCTCCTAAGTGCTGGGATTAAAGGTGGGCACCATTGCTCCCCCATCCCCACGAACTGTTACAATGCTTCTGTGTTCTGACTATAACAGTATCAGGCACTGGGAGTAGAAAACATCAAAATTACACAGTGAGAAAGCATGGCTGGTCTGCTCTGCCCTAAGCCTGGGAATATGATAGTGGCTCAAATACTGCTCATAAGCACAAGCCTGCAATGCAACTGAAAACAGGACACAAACTGCACCATTTACTGCCAACTTGTGGGGGAGTTCTCTGTGGTTACTTTAACAAACCTTCATAAACTGAAGGGGCATTTGTTTTCATTGATTATGAATGTCCTACAGAACTTAGGATCAGGCCCAGGACTTCATTTATGCATGGCCAGTGCTCACCTGAAGGCAGTCGTTTAAAGTAAACTCTGGAGGACAGTCCTTCTCAATTCTAAGATGGGTCTGGGTAGATTAGAGGGAAAGGAGCTGCCTTCTTACAAGGGGAGAATTTGTTTCCTTCCCTTCCCAGCTTTTAGAAGACACACACATTCCTTGGTTCACAGTCTTCTTCCTCCATCTTGTTCGAAAATTCTGTAACACTAGCCCTCTTCTGCATCCCAAACCTATTTCTAGTAATTCAGGTTATACTGTGTTCACAAAATGAATCCAGAAATCCTTAAGTCAATTGCCCCAGGCTTGGCTTCAACCTCTAAAACATCAGCAGTGAACTCTCTCGCTTATGCCATGCAATACATGGTATTTGCCACAGCAATCCAAACGAACTAAGTTATTTTCAACTTCCATTGAAAACAAAATACAGGATCTCACTGTGTAGGCCTGACTGGCCTAGAACTCACTGTGCAGAGCAGGCTGGCCTTGAACTCAGAGAGATCTGTCTGCCTCTGCCTCTGCCTCTGCCTCTGCCTCCTGAGTGCTTGGATTAAAGGTGTGCTCCAACTCTCGGCTTGTCTGCTTATGTGGTTTCTGGAAGAATAAAGCTGTGTATGTGGCTTCTTTGTTCACAGATGAATAGAAGTTGTTTAACAGAAACATATGTATGTAATTAGTATCTCTGTGAAGTTCATGTGTCTTTTTGTTTTTGAGACAAGTCCTCGAGAAGCACAGCTTGGCTTCATACATATCCAGGAAGGCACTGTGCAGGGAGGGAGGACTTTCAACTGGCCCTAATTGCCCCAAGTGATACATTCCCAGATATGCACCAATATGCCAAGACTTGTTTTTTTCTTATTCTATAAAAATTTGAGGGCTGGTGAGAGGGATCAATGGGTAAGAAGAGCCTATGACACAAACTTGTTGACCATACCAGGAATCCATGTAAAGTTGAAAGGAGAGAACAGTCCTGAAAGTCACTTATGATCTCAACATAACAGCTTCCCCTTCTACACATAGTAACCAAATCAGTAAAAATGTAAAGCCAAGCACCCAAGAAAACAAACGAAAAACACCAGTCTTTGGGGCAGGCAAGATGACTCAGCAGGTTAACAAGCCTGATAACCTGAGTTTGATCCCTAGAACTAACATGGTAGAAGAAGAGAACTAACTCCCAAAAGCTGTCCTCTGATCTGACCGCCACACATGTACATGGGATGCATGTGACCCACATACATTTACATCAAAATAATGAACATGAAATACAAGCTGAGATGCATCATACTGTCAGTAACATATATTAAGATATTAAGAAATTAGCAATGATGCCTTTATTCTCAGCACTTGGGAAGCAGAGGCAAGAGGCTCTCTGTGAGTTGGAGGCCAGCCTCATCTACATAGCAAGTTCCAGGACAGCCTGGACTTCATCATGAGACCCTGTCTCAAACAAAAAAAAAGTTAGTATATTGTTAAAAATTGCTCTCTGATGGGGGATTGTCTTTTCATATGCCGTGAGTATATGAGCCTGGATACTGTATGTTATTGTGTTGTCTTTCAATTGTTTGATTGCTGAGGAAGGAGTAACAGCTGCTAAAAGACATTTGATTATAAATGCTGTTGGATTAATCCAACCTATATATTTTGAAAATGCCGTAGCTTCAAAATTTAAGTCCAAAGACATGTTACTTTGGAAAAGAAGTTCTGCTTTTGTTTCCACGGAAGATGAAAAGCTGAGGATTCCTTCCATACTAATATGGTTTGATCAAGCAAGACCCCCTGAAGCAGTGGCCCAGGTGATCCAACATCCAAAACAGCTGAGACCATGCAACCTCACAGACCACTACAGCCAGGATTTGACCAGGTTTCTGGGTTTTCTCAGGATCCCCTTGGGATTGACAGCACCCCCAAACAGCAGGAAGCAGTTTGGAGAGAACTACACCCAAATTCTCAAACATTGTTCATAAATGTTTGTTTTCATTTAAACGGGGTTGGTTATAAATGATTGAGGATCACAGTCAATCTCTTTCCAAAGGGAAAAAAAAAAAAGGGAATATGATATAGAAATAAATACTTTACATTGGTATGGATTTTTTTTGGGGGGGGGGGGGGTTGAGACAGGATTTCTCTATAGTTTTACACATAATTTTAGA